TGACTAGTACAAGGAACAACCACATCCTCTTTACCTGATTTACCAAATGGTCATATTTTGCCCCATTTTTTTTATCATTCTCTTTATGAAATATTTTATAAACATATATTTTTTTCTCTGAGCCATCTGACAATAAGTTGGAGTCTATGGTTCCCCTTTGCCCTAAACACTTGAGTGTGTATTTCCTAGGAACGAGAACATCCTCTCATGTGGGCATGGTACAAGTGATCCGAACATATCAGGAAATGTATATTGATCCAATGCTGTGATTTATTCATAGCGGGGAATCTGCGTTGCCACAGTCAAACCACTGGTGGGCACATTTTTCTTAAAAAAAAAAAAAAAGAAAGAAATTTTGTATTGTCACCCTCTGTCTTCACCTGGCCATTTTGTTCACCATGTTCGTGCATATAGAAGGTCCCTGTGATTAACATGGGATAGTGTTTCTTAGTGTGGCGATGCACGGATTAGTCCTCTTCTGCTGTCTGGGGGTTGGGGGGGGCACGCAGTATTTCCTACACTTTGCCATTGCAGACATCCTCAGGCATAACTGATTGTTAGTGGGCATTGCTCTGAAGAGCTGTTGTGTGACCACGGAGGGAGGACAAGTGAGGACTCATGATGCTGGAAGAAGTGCCTTTTAAAGGAGTTGGTTATCTCCCACAATGTGTGAGATAAAGGCTTTTCAGCAGCACAACTATTCAGATTTTTCTAATAAATAGTTGTGTTTTGGGTGGTTGCTGGGGGGCGGTGAATGGGTCAGGGGAAAGAGTAGAAGAGTTCTTGAAGAACAATTCTTAGGAGAATAGTTCACAGTAGTGCTGCCTTTTTATGGGCCCAGCACTGTCTTAGGGAACTTTCAGCTGCGTGCGGAAGGCCTCGTTTGCTCCGAGGACCCTTTGATGGAAACAGCCAGCCCTCACCCCCCCGCCTGCATCACATCCAAGGCGAGCAGTGTTCTCTGGATCAGGACACTTTTCTTCTGTACATTGAGCACACTTCCACCAGGGGGGGAAGGTTGCTATTTCTGCTTTGTGTGAAGCATTTTGTACCATCTGGGCTGGCTGGATTTCAACAAAGATAGTAAAGAAACATTTATCAAGAAAAATCAAAGTCAGTCTCGCCAAGTGTGGTCTAGAGAGATTTGCTTCCTCAGTACGTTGTGGTTGGGAAACAGGACTCTACTTTGAAAAGCTTTAGGAGGGTCAGGCCTCTGGGTCTTAGCCTGCAGCTGCTGTCCCCTGCTCACGACGTGATGGTTTCGGGGACGAGAGCTCTTGAGATGTGAACACCAGCAGGTTCAGAATCCATTTCACTCCATTCCTCTCCTCATTCCCATCCTCTTCAGTAATAGACCCAAAAGGACAAAAGAGGAAGAAAAGATCTATAAGGGCTGGGGAAGAGATGGAGTCCTACCTCAGTCACAGATATTGGGTTCAGGAGAAGCAGAGGCCCAAGGAGAGGTCATTCTCAAAGCATTCATTGTAAAGATTGGCTCAAACTAACACGCACTTGTCCCATCAAGAGCCCTCGGAAGGAGCTATGAGCTCATAAACTTACAGTAGAAGAAAGTTCTGGTGATGGTGCTGTGGTGTCAGCTCATAGCACAGGGAGTAAGGTGGGAGGGGGTGTGGGTCTTGACAGAAAGAAGAGATGTGAGCCGTTCCCACTTGCACATGTGTTGCCAATCACCCAGACAGACAAGTTCCTGGCACGTCAGCGCGCCTCAGATCATGTTTTTATGCAGCTTACTCCGTGATAGATGTGTCATTACAAGATCCCAGCCTAGAAACAGGCACATGCTATTTTCCCTGGAAGGCTTAAGAAATGGGAGAAAGTAACAGTTGGAGATTGTAGTCTATGGGAAAGATGCATGGGGATCTTAAATTATATCATCTGGAAATGCTTTGCTTAATGTCTGCTGTATGGACCAGCTGCAGCAGTATCACCTGGGAACATGTTAGAAAAACAAGGGAGCAGCTCTCCCTCCAGAGTCACTGAATCAGAGAATCCATCGGTAGGAGTGGGTCCCAGAGATATGGACCTCACAAACCCTGTGGGTGACTCTTAGACACACTAAGTTTTGAGGAAAGCCCTGGAAGCGTTCAAGTGGGAAGGTCAGACGCATAGTTCTCAAAGAAGAAGACCCAGACGTCCATTTGGAAGTGGTTAGCTCTTCTTAATAAAAGGGAACAAATGAGAGGGGACACTGAATATGTGTAATAATAATAATAAAATAGCAAAAGTAAAGCTGGCATTTATTGACTATTCCGTGGGAGCCAGGTTCCAAGCTGAATATGTATGTTCGCATCCGATTATGCTCTTACAACAACCCAATGAAGTATGTATTTCTCCATGTCCTGGGTCAAGAAATGGAGGTCCCAAAATGTGAAGTAACTGCTAGGCACGATGCAAAACCTGACATCTTGTAGCCTTGTATCCACTACACTATGCGACCTGGCTATGGACTCATTAGCCGTCAACCATGCTTTGAATAAATTTGGGTTTCTGTATTCCTGGGGGACAGGAGCAACATCTTATCCCCATATCCCCAGTGCGTAACAGAATGCCTAATGCCTCACAGGGACCTGCTTATTGAACTTAACTGAGTCAAAGTCAAAGAAGAAAAGTTCTCGCTTTTGGTGCAAGAATGAGGTATAACCTGAACGAGAATGGCATGGAGCGAGATAAATGGGCTGTGGATAAATGGAAGGATAGGTCATAAGCTAGAGTGCAGAAACACACTGGTGCAGAATAAGTGAAAGCTGACCCCCCGGGGCCCCTTGTCACTCTCCTGGCAGTCCACCCAGCCCTTTTTCCATCTCCTGTATTCAGTCCCAACCCCTTCCTAGTGACAGGGTCTTAGACAAGTCAGCAAAGTCTGACTTACCCCCGCCCCCAACAGCAATGGTGAGCTGATTGGGTGTAGGGAAATAAAGAGAAGATCTACGAATTTAACTAGGGCTGGGTTCCCCCCCCCCACCCAGATAAATAAAATGGAAAGAAAGAGGAACAAGAGAGTTGAGGGGGTTTCCAAGCAAGTGATTATAATGCATTATGAGCTCTAGGCTGGGAGTGAGATAAAGGCAAGAGGGAATAGGGAGAAGAGTCAGTAAAGATGGGCTCAACAGACTGACTGTTGGTGTAAGACTGGTCACAATGGGGTACTAGGGTTAATGAACTGGAAAAATAGGGAGGGGCATTGGCTTGTAGGGTTTGTGAAGTGGAGATTGAGAAAGTGGTGTGATTTCTGGGATGATAAACTCCAGTTATCATGAACTGTGATAGCATGAAGCGAAGGTTATAGGAGGTGAGGGGATGCTTTATCTCCTACTTTCTAATATTCTGTTTCTATTGTATTATTGCACTTATGGAACACTCAGAAAAAAATGTTGAACTATAGCTGGGGTCATGGATGTCTATCATCTTCCTGCCTTTAAGGGGATTGCATTTATCCTCAACTATGGCTCTATTATTTCAGATAGCTTTTATCCTGGGAAGACAATTTCCTGCTGTTTGTAGCCAATTGCAATGATCCAATGGTTTTCTCCTTTGACCTATACATATAATGAATGTTTTAATAATAGATTGTCTATGATTGAACCATCTTTGCATTCCTGGTAAGAGTCATTCTATATTGACCTTCTGGCAGATCGCTTAATTCAATCTGCTAATGCAATACTTTGGATTTTTCTATCATAAGTGAGATGGTTGGCACCGTATACTTATGACCCATACAACTCCCATTTTCCCATCTCCTTCTCATGGCTGCCTATGTAACTTCTTGTTTCCCTAGGCTGGTGTTGTGTCTACACTACTGACCCTCTGCTTCCTTTCTTCTTTAAACCAGTCTTTTTTTTTTTTTTTCAGGAATTTTTTTTTTTTTTTAGATTTTTAAAATTTATTTATTTGACAGAGAGAGAGAGATCACAAGTAGGCAGAAAGGCAGGCAGAGAGAGAGGGGGAAGCAGGCTCCCTGCTGAACAGAGAGCCTGACGCGGGGCTCGATCCCAGGACCCTGGGATCATGACTTGAGCCAAAGGCAGATGCTTAACCCACTGAGCCACCCAGACGCCCCTTCTTTAAGCCAATCTTACAGCCTCCTTTACTGTGTTCCTCGTTGAGGGTGGAGCCCACCTGTCATGCTGCGGTAATTTTCCAGCCTTCTGTCTGGGTGGAGGTCATGAGAGCAACTCTTTCTCTTTCAGCTTTTGCTTTTTGAATTGAGGTAAAATTCACATAACACAAAATTAACCATAAGCCATCTTAAAATGTACCATTCACGGGTGCTTAGTATATTCATGGGGTTGTGCAACCATCACCCGTATCTAGGTCCAAGAGATGTTATCACCAGAAAAGGAAACCCCTTACCTGTTTCATAGTCACTCCCCATTCCCCCCTCCCTACCAGCTCCTGGTCGCCACCGGTCTGTGTGTCTGTGGATTTCCCTGTTCTGGGTGTTTCCTATCAGTGGAATCCTACAACATGTGACCTTCTGCATCGGAGTGCACAGGTGTTCACAGCAGCACTATTTGCATGAGCCAAAGTGTGGGAACAGCCTCAATGGCCACCTGATGAATGGATAAATGGAGTTCGCTCTGTCCATACAAGGGAACAATATTCAGCCATAAATGTAGCGCTGATCCATGCCACAACATGGATGAACCCTGAAAATATTATGCTTGGTGAAAGAAGCCAGTCTTTCTTGTTGGCTTTGTGGAACACAAGCTTTGAGAGCATGTAGCTAATCTTGGGGGCCCAGCGGGCAGAGCAGTGGGGAAGTCAGAAGTCGGTGTCGAACTCATATCGGTTAAGAGGTTGACTACATCTGACCCGTGCATCTTGCTTTGCGTGCTTCTTAGCTGTGGATGACCCTAAGTCACATCTCCTATGAGACGAGTGTGATGCCGAGGACTCGTCCACAGGGTCTCCAACCCTCGCTGGCTGATGCTTAAACATGACAGGACTATTAATGCTGAAATTGTTTTTTCTCTTTTCAGTAAGAGATGCTAAAAACCTTGTACCTATGGACCCCAATGGCTTGTCAGACCCTTACGTGAAACTGAAACTGATTCCCGACCCCAAGAGCGAGAGCAAGCAGAAGACCAAAACCATCAAATGCTCCCTCAACCCTGAGTGGAACGAGACATTCAGATTGTAAGTTAGAATTATCGCCGCCCAGCGTGGGCGGTGGGGTTCACCTTGTGGGCCACCAGCATTGGGGAGGGCCCCTCCCAGCTTCCATTTCATTTCTCCCCTCCCTCCCTCCTTTCCTCCCTTCCTCTCTTTCTCCCTCCTCCCTTCCCTTACTCCCCCTCCATCTGCATTTTTGCACTGCAAGCCAAGTAAAAATTGGAACTTATTTTTTTAATAGAGATGAGAATGTCTGTGGTGTGGGGAGTGGGTGGGATAGAAAGTAGTGTGATGTGTTGCTAGGTGAAGGCAAGTTGTGGGAGAAGTTCTGGTCTCAGAGAACAGTGGGACGTAACCCATAGGGTGTGGTGATAACCCCTGTGGGACTGAGTCCGGGGGTATGGATGTGCTGGGGCCGCAGCCTGTCGAGAGTTCTCTGCTAGCTTCCACAGCGGATCTTCCCGAGCCAGTGCTCCAAGAACCTGGGGTCACTTTTTGAGGCATCTGGGCCCACAAGGGTTAGTGACGTCAGCCAGTGTTTATGGAGTATATCGCGGTTGTAAAAAGCACTCTAGTGAATGATCTCAGTTCATTGGCCATTTCATCCCTATTTAACCAATGAGGCTTGACAACGTTAAAGAATGTGCCCAGAGTCCCCCAGCAAATGTGGGGTCATTCTGTGGGGAGATTCTGAAGTCTGACACCAGAGGCTCTGGGCCAAAAGCACGATTCCTTGTGGGAGCCCCATCCCCCTGTTCCCTCTCTCAGGGTGAAAGTGGGGACACACCTCAGCCTCAATCAAGGACACGCCTCAGAACAGCTTCCCCCGACCAGCACCAGCAAGACTGCTTCCTCCACGTGTGTCCTGAGTCTCACGCCAACTCACGTGTGTGCAAACACTCACGCAATTATGTCATCGATACCCAGAGTTCTTGTTTGCCACTTTGTCAGTAGGGTTTCCCGAACATCCCGAACCCTATTAAGACATAAGGAAGCGGCTAGAACTGTTTCTGGCGGTGCTGGTCCAGGTCCTTCAACCCGGGCGAGCCACGGGCTGCGGGACTTGAGCAGCCCTCCCTCCCTGGGGAGCTTGCCTGGGATGGAAACAGAATATGCAGCTGGCAACAGCTTGTAATCTTTTAAAAATTCCCACCTTTGGGCTTTTTCCTCTTAAACATTTCATCTGCTTGAGAAATCATGGTAAGCTCCTCCGACGTCTCTCATCTTGCTCTTGGCAGCCAGTTGAAAGAATCGGACAAAGACAGAAGACTGTCCGTGGAGATTTGGGACTGGGATCTGACCAGCAGGAATGACTTCATGGGATCTTTGTCGTTTGGGATTTCCGAACTGCAGAAAGCTGGTGTTGATGGCTGGTAAGCAGGATTTTGCTTTGAACGCTGCCATACAGCTTGGTCCATCCAATGGGGGAAGAAGGATGTTTTCCTTTTTGTCCTAAAAGTGAAATACTAAAACGGAGTCACAGAGTGATAGCTGGTAGATTGGATCTGCCTGACGGATATGTTTTATTCGGTCCTTGTACTTAAAAAAAAAATCAGTTCCTCGTATTTTCAAAATCTGGACATTTTCTATAAAAATCTGGACTTCTGCGGGGTGCCTGGGTGGCTTAGTTGCTTAAGCATCCAACTCTTTTTTTTTTTTTTAAGATTTTTCTGTATTTATTTGAGAGAGAGAGAGAGAGAGAGCATGAGCAGGGAGAGGGGCAGAGGCATAGGGAGAAGCAGGGAGCCCGATGCAGGGCTCAATCCCACGACCCTGAGATCATGACCTGAGCCGAAGGCAGATGCTTAACTGACTGAGCCACCCAGGTGCCCCCAAGTGTCCTACTCTTGATCTCAGCCCAGGTCTTGACCTCAGAGTCGCAAGTTCAAGCCCTGCATTGGGCTCCATGCTGGGCATGGAGCCTACTTAAAAAAAAAAAAAATCTGGACTTCTGGCTTGCAAATCCAGAAATACCTGGATGTACTGAGCCCAGAAGGCAATAACTGAGAACAGGTGAGTAGTTAGTTAATGCCTTCTTCAGACAGGACATGGATTTTCTGTTTGCCCTAGTCTTCACCATTCCCTATTGCTTTACATCCATCTAACTTTACACAGTTTCATGTCTTGACTGGCCCCCATGGGCACTAAAGTGGCTCTTACAGTGTACCCTAAAAATACACCCAGTCTTCTGTCAGATTCCAGCTCCATAGGAAAATACTCCCTCGTTGGGACCACTTACCAAGCCTGGCCACAGAGGTGCTGGGAGGTTGCTGGGAGGTTTGTTCTGCAGTTTTTGTTCCATTCCCTTCTCCTGGCAAAAAATCCTCAGTATTCCCAGCAAAGAGGCTGGGTGAGCTCCCTTGGCAATGGTTGGTTTCACCATCATCTGAATAAAAGGAGTCAGAATACACAGTCCAACCTGGCACCATAGCTTTGAGCAAAGTGGACATTATTGGCTGCTCTTATCTCTTTAAGAGAAATTGTCTCCCTTATGACTTCATTCAGGACTTTTTCAGTTACAAGTGAAAGAAAATAAAAAATCAGACCCATTTAGCAAGGAAGAGAATGCATCTCGAGGACCACACGTCTTCCCCATTGCTCACCATACAACCTCCTTATCTCTTGTCCCTGTTCATTATAGATTTTGTTGTTTTTTAAAGATTTATTTATTTATTTAAAAGAGAGAGGATGCAAGTGGGAGGTGGCAGGGAGGGCAGAGGGAGAGAGAGAATCCCAAGCAGACTTCCCACTGAATGTGGAGCCCAACGCAGGGCTCGATCTCACCACCCTGAGTGAGATGAGACCAAGAGTTGGACGTTCAACCAACCGAGCCACCCAGACACTCCTGTATTTATCACAGACTTTTATTCAAATAGATTTTGAGTCTCTCTCTAGTCTCTTCTAGTCACTAGAGATCCATCAGGTATAAGACAGATATACCCTCATGGCGTTTAACTTCTGGAGCGAGAAGAAATGACACCAATAACTATTCAATGACAACATGATGACAGATGGGAAGGAGGATGAAAGCCATGTGGGTACAAAATTAACAGTAGTAATAAGGTGTCTTAAAGCACAGACCACAAACAGTTAACAACAGAATTCTCAGAAAAAAATTAGGTAGGGAACATCTGTCACAATTTTTCCTTAGCTCACGAATGGGGAGACCAGGAGCATGAATGGCTGATTCCAAAGGTTTGAGAAGCTCAGATTGGTAGACCAGGAGACTCAGGAATGCTGAAGTCCCTTTGTACGTTAGAGGTACAGCCGACTGCCAAACGGGATGACGAAATCACAGCCTTGGGCGCGACCCATCTACGACTAGAAGAACTGCTTTTCTTCTTCTTCTTCTTTTATTTTATTTTATTTAAGATTTTATTTATTCATTTGAGAAAGAGAGAGACAAAGATAGCAACAGAGCACAAGCGGGGAGAAGGAGAAACTCCTGGCTGAGCAGGGAGCCGGACGTGGGGGCTCGATCCCAGGACTCTGGGATCATGACCTGAGCTGAAGGCAGACACTTAACTGCCTGAGCCACCCAGGTGCCCCTTTCTTCTTCTTTTTTAAAGCTTTTATTTTTAAGAACCTCTACACCCAACGTAGGGGTTGAACTCACCGCCCAGAGCTCAAGAGTTGCACGCTTCTCCGACTAAAGCCAGCCAGGTGACCCAGATGGGCAGAACTTAGAAAAGTTAACGATTGTCTTTGCAGAGCTGGGAGGCTATGTGGGCCTAACTGGCTTGTGGATTATAAGTAACAGTTCTAAGTAAGACTAATCAGTAATAGCGGGGAAGGAGATAACAATTTAGAAAATGTCCTTGCACGACAGTAAGGGGTCACACTGCCATCTTTTTACCATTTTCCCATTTCACACAGGCACAGAAATTCTCCACCAAATACTAGCAAACCAAATCCAATAACACATTAAAAAAAAAAAAAATCATTCTCCATGACCAAGTGGGATTTATCCCAGGGATGCAAGGGTGGTTCAATCAGCGGGATATATCACATCGACAGGAGAAAGGATAAAAACCATATGATCATCTCGATAGAGGCAAAAAAAATAAATAAATAAAAATAAAAGGCATTTGACAAAGCACGACTTCCATTCATGATAAAAAAAAAAAAACTTGGGTTAATATTTCTTTTTCTTTTTTTTTTTTTAAAGATTTTATTTGTTTATTTGACAGACGGAGATCACCAGTAGGCAGAGAGGCAGACAGAGAGAGGAGGAAGCAGGCTCCCCCGTGGAGCAGAGAGCCCAATGCGGGGCTCCATCCCAGGACCCTGAGATCATGACCTGAGCCGAAGGCAGAGGCTTTAACCCACTGAGCCACCCAGGCGCCCCTTGGGTTAATTTTTCTTAACATATGGATGATCTGACTTTGCGCGCTACCATTAGCACTAGTGACAGACTGCGAAGTCCTTCCTCTTGAAGTCAGGCGTAAGGAGGTTAAGGAGAAGGAATGTATGATCCCCCGGGGGGTCTGAGTGAGACGGAAGAGTGAACATGATAATAATAATTACTAGAGCAGTAGCTACCACTTAGTGACTGTTAGCTGGATGCCAGGCTCCGGGCTGATCACTTTCCAGGTGTCCTGGAGTCACACATTGATACCCACGATTAGCCTCTTTATTTTCTGTAATGTACCCAGACTTTCTTAGGCAGTTTAGTGACCTCCTGGTGGTGAGAAGGGGACCCTCTTGCCTGTGGTATGCCTTCTGGGCTTCACTGTTGCAGCCCGGCTGATCCTGCCTGGTCCCTGAACCCGTGCCCGTGAGGCTGGACGGGTCCCCCCGCCCCCCCCGTCCTCCATCCCCTCTCTTCCCCAGTTTGGAACATCATTTCTGGCCTCCTGCTGGAGTCCCAGGTCTTGGCCTGTTGCCTCTAGTTGTGAGGTCCTTCCGCACAGTGTCTTCTTTGTCCCACTCCCCAGGCCACCCGTGTGAGCCCTCGTTTCTCAGCCTCCTGCATGCGGGCCAGGAGTGCTGTCTGAGCGATCCCTATATCCCTGGCCCATGTGGCCCCCCACGTAGGTCTCTGCCCAGGGCAGAGAAGGACAGGCCAGGCCCCTCCGCTTTTGCCCTATCCTTGCTCACTTCTCGTGGTTCCTCAGTCCCGAACGGGCAGGGCTCTCTCCCACAGGTGCCACCCCTTCCTGGTCTGGTGCCTGCCCTGTCTGCTCCCTGGAAATAGCAGAGGGCAGGGGGAACGAAAGGACTGAGTCCAAAATATCCCTGCACGTACACATTATCATCCTTCAATTCTCCCACCAGTTCTGGGCAGAACGTCGTTCCTGGGATCAGAGCATTCAAGCAATGTGTGAAAGGACACACAGCTCGTATGTGACAGTGCTTGAGTTTGGGTCCAGGTCTCTGGAATGCTAGGGCTGAAGCACGTGCCCTCCCATTCTGCCTCCTGGTACAGGGGTTTGGCAGAGGCCTTGAAGGTAGATGGGAGGGCTTTGACCTTGGCTGTCCTAAGGGGATGGATGCTTTGTGACTTCAGGTGAATCCCTTCACCTCTTTGTACTCCAGACTTCTCAGCTGTTCTGATTCCATTAGTCAGGGCTAATTGTAGCATTTCCTCCCCACCCAGGCGAGTTGTGAAATTGTGTATTGGAGGGAACTTCTGCTAAATAAAAGCCCTCTTTGGGTTTTGTGGATAGAAGTGCTCCCCTAAAAGATTCAGGGCCAAGACATCTGCGAACCTGTCTTGAACATAAATGGAACAAATTCTAGACATTTGCATTCTTGTCCTTGTGGGCTCTTGGGTGAGTTCCGTGCCATCTCCGAGACTCAGTTTCCCCATTTGGCAGGGGATGAGCTCTCCCAGCTCTTCTGTTGTGTTGTAATTGAAGACCACACAGCAGAAAGGGGCAGCTGTGCAAGCTCCCAGATGTGGCGTGCCAGCCTCAGGCCCCTCATCTGCTGCTTTGCCACCAGCCCCGCGTCTGTCGTCAGATCCACTCCTTTGTTTCTAATTTTATTTGTTTTTGCTATCTCCTTTCCTTCCTCCTTGTTTTCCAGGTTCATCTGTTTTGCTGTGGTTTATTTTTCTGCAAAGAATGAGTTCTGGGGTTTACAAATCAATTTTGTGTTTGGCTCTTCTTCTCTGTGGGTTTGTTGGGTGGTTGCATGTGAATTTCAGATGAACATTTTGCTAATTTATTTTCCTTCTCTTAACGGGCTCTGCTCTTCAAGAATAAAGAACAAGCATCAGAGGGAATAAAGATTTCCTCCGAGCTGTGATATGCCGCGTTCTAGTTTTTGCTGCTTGCTGAAGGTCTACACTTGTGTTTCTAATTTCCTTTAAGCGTGCTTTTATTTGGGCATTTGGAAATCATTTTGGTGTTACTTTTTGTTTCGTTTT